TATTGGAGCTTGTTTTTTCATGAACCATCAGCCCGTTTGTTGGTACATAGAAACTGAGCGCCCTGAAAATGTTATCATATGTCTATTCGTTTATCATGGAGTTTGCCTCAACTAAACGAGGCGGTCGCAGACTTCTTTATGAATGATATGCATATATCCTTGATAAGCAGAGATATGCAACCAGTTATTAGAGAGTATGACCAAAAATCAGCCTTCTGAACATAGTAACCCACGAGATGCAATACGAATACACGTCGCAAGGACTGTGTCCGAAATCCGTCCTTGTATGTGTGTATTGTGTTTTTGGGTGCCGTTGCCTATAATCTGTGAATGATTTTCCCAAATAAAATTAGGCCAATGATAATTAGGCCTATGTCTTAATACCATTCATGACATGATATGATTTCACAGTTTATAATTACGCTAATTTTGTTTGTCGTTATCTACATAAATCTGATTAGTTCTCAATCATATCATAGAAGCAGTAATGGTTTGAAATACTTCAATTGATGGTAGTGTTCAAATTGGATTATACAGGCCTACTTGTGGGAGGAATAGATATTTTAACGTGCTCATAAGTTTTAAAGCCTATAGTTAGGCCTGCTTTAATGATTTAATATAATACCAAATTCACTGAAATAATCTTTAATGTATACAACGAAGCCTTGCGAAAGAAATTAAAGTTATTGAGTTCTGGTTTAACATACGGTATGGTTCGCTTATTCATTTTGTGGATACTGGTTCTGTTTAGGTAGGCCAACTTTGGGCTGAGTTATATCAACCAGGGATGCATTAGATAGGTGTAGACGAAATATTAATGTTTTTATATTATATCACCACCGATACCATTTACAATCATCCATGTCACATTAACTAATTAAATGTTTTGACCAACACTTCCAAGGTAGGCAAATTTAGTTTGTCGGAAGAATTATTTTTATTGTTGAATTTGTCCAGAGAAGATATGATACACTTTTTTTTTTATAAGAACCAGTAAAATTTTGCCCAGACTCAGTGTTCTTATTTTTTGGCCGATTTCAGGCTCAAAATGTTCTTATTTTGTTCTTAGTTTACACACTTTTTAAACAAAAAAATTATTTAATTGTCGGCAGTATGCACTGTACTGGAATGTAGGTGAAAGTGACCCCACAAAAAATGGCCCCCAAATGTCAGTAGACAGAGGGTATTACAGTCACACCTACTGCACATAATGTACAGATATAATATTTTGGTTTTTAAAAAATATAAACCTCATTTGAAATTTTACCTCAGCCTCAATTTGTTCTTATTTTGTTCTTAATTTTTAAGCAATTTCAGCCTCAGTGTTCTTATAAAATGTGTTCTTATAAAAAAAAAAGTGTATGTGGATTTAGCTGTCGACGAGCATATTTCAATTAAAAAGGGACACTGTCGATTAAACCTCTGAGAGGAAGCTGTCCGTCGACAAAACATCCTGTCAGATAGCTTCAGAGAGGCTGTCTGACAGGGTCCGAACATTATTTACAAGAGACACAATAGATCAAAATACAAAAAATTATCAAACCATTTAGCGATTTATTTCTGAGAAGACATGGAAGATTTACATGCATATAATTAAAAAAGAAAATTTCCTATAAAAAAGTGTGTTATGTTACATTGCTTCAAGTACAAAATATATCCAGTGTGTATCTATTCACCACACATTTTCCACTTGTTGTCACTGCTTCAATTCTCTTTATTGCATTTTTGTGTTTGCAGTTCGAAACACACACTTATACCACTCAGTCATACCAGGAAACAGTTAAATTACTTGTAACTTAACTGTTCCCTGGTCATACTTGTACTAAATATCAATTAACCATTCATGCTTTATCATTACTATAATTGTCACCATGGGATTTCATAAATACCGTAAAACCTCGATTTGAAGTTAAATTGACTTAATCACGAGATGAAGCCCATCTTGAATTGAAGTCCCCTCTTTAGTTTGCAAAACTAGCCTCGAAATACCCATGGGCTTCTTTTCAAGATAGCATAGGCTTTTTTTTCGAGACAGTACATACACTGTACATGAATTTCAAAAAACAAAATAAATTGAAAACTAGCTTGGTTTATATAGTAGTTTTGGTGATTTAATGCCACTTAAATACACTCCATGATTTAATTGATGTTACAATGACCTTATTTATTTATATATATATTTATATTACCTTATTTATTGTTTCATAGTACGAATTCACAAAATTTACAGCATTAATTTTGAAAAGAAACCCACCTCT